ATAATCATGTATTGGAGTTTTGTCATGTTTGTAAGTGGTATCGGAAGTACACTGGTTTTTGGAAATTTGTAAAATATCTTCACTAAGTAGTTACATAACATTTTATGGTAACTGTAAAGGTAAACATAATACTTTTTTGGGTTTTTTTTTTGTTGATTCGAATGTAAATAGCTAGTAATGTATAAATTAATGCAGCTAAATATCTTATTGTAGTAAAAATGCATGTGTTTTAATTTTTTGATATTATTTATATACTTATTTAACTTTTAACAAATCATAAGTTAAATGTGAACATTTAAAACAACCATTGGGAAATGAATTCTAATTGTAATGGTTAATTTATTATTTTGACTACAAGCTAGGGAGTTTTATATTTTATTTAAAAGCAACTTATTGACTTATGGCTCTTTGAAAAGTCAATAAGTCAAAAAACATGTTTGTCATATATGAAAAGAACTTTTAAAATAACATTTAATTAAGCCTTCAAAAATTAGATTTCAATAAGTTAGGATTTCTAACTTTTCTAAAATTCTTATAACTTTTTGGGTTTTAAAAGAGAAATACCCCTTAAAACATGTATAAAGCTAAGACAAACATTTTATCAAAAAAAATTTATTGACTTATTGGAGTTGAATAGTTTAACCAGTTTACTGGACTTGGATAGTTGGATTTTATTTAGCCCATTAACGTACATATCAAATAAAAAAAACCGGTTATAATAAATGACATTTGGCCAACGTTTTCAGATGTTGCATGATTTGTCACGTGTTTTTCCATGTTACAAATTGCAATATAAGATTTAGTCATTTAAAATGAAACTTCTAAACCATATGTCTCGCTTAGTAACCAATACAAGGTAAATATACATATAAAATAATAACACCGGTTAGTAAAGACAACAGTTGGCCACCGTTTTCAGTCGTCGCATGAATTATCACTTTTTTATATGTAAAATCAATGTTAATGTCTGAAGTCTGATTTGCAATGGTGACTCGTTTTCAGTAAAATGTCATTGAAGCAATCATTTGAATTATTTTATGACTTTTAGTGATGAGAAATATGAAAACCGAGAACACTCGGGTTTCAAAACCCGAAGAAATAACCCAATTTTGTAATAGTATCACTTTTTTAGTTGCGTTGTCAATTTTTTGTATGTCACCTCGCTAAAACCTTATTCGTAGCATGTTATAAGGAGTGGTAGCACTTCTAGCACTCTATTTTTTATTCTTTCTCAGATTTAATTAAATTATAATTTTTTATATAGAAACAGTTAATATTAAATATTTTATATTTTTTTAAACCACAAACAATTAATATCATATAAATTAAATTTTTTGAAACACAAACATTTAATACTAAATTAAATAAGTTATAATAAATTAAAACTTAAAATACCTTGAAACACGAGTTAATAATTCAAACCACGACTTAATACCTAGAAACATGACTTAATACTTAGAAACACGACATAATACATAAAAAAACACTTCATAAAAAGCACACTAAAGCATAGAGACTTCCTTCGAAAACTGGTCTTCCAATTCCTCTTTCGGTGGCATATTAAGATCAAAATTGTCCATCATCCAAAGATTAGCAGTTAAACGGCGGTGAAAATCGGCTTGGACTATTGCATTGTTGGCTATCCTCATTCTCTGTATCCATTCTTGACCACCAAATTCAAGTGGTTCTGTCTTGGGGATGACTTCATTCTGGTCATACAAACATATCGTGTTTGCTTCATGTTCTAGTATTATATTATGCAATATGATAGACGTATACATCACCTATGTCATAGTAGAAACATCATGAAATAAAGATGATTTAGCAACTATCTACCAATGCCTTTTAAGTGATCCAAATGCATGTTCGATATATTTTCTCATTTTTTTCTTGGACTCTTAAATCTGGACCTTTGAGAGTCATCTAGACATGACAAAGTAACGAAAACAGAAAGGTCAAGATAGATCCCATCAACAAAGATATTACCCAAGTTTGTATTCCGTTCCTCAGAGTACAAATGACGAATCTGTAGCAGCACTGTCATACACCTTGTTGAATATTGGTGAATTATTGAGAATATTAATGTCATTAAGTGAACCGACACTACCGAAAAAGGTATGCCTGAACCACAAATCATGTGAGGCTCAAGTAAGACCATATGATAATCATAATTGCCCTTTGTTTATTATCCATGATATGTGCTAGGATACAAATTCCATCTCCAATGCATACAATCTAAACTTCTTCACATCCCAGGTAAACCATGAACATTTGCATGACGAGCATACAACTTTTGCATGTAACTAGAAGTAGGATGACGTAAATATCGTGGACCGTACAAAGACGTGAAAAATTTGCAAAATTCGTAAAGATTTTTTCGAGCAGTACGTGCAAACATCCTAAAACTCTTGTCTATTGCATCAGGAGGTTTCATATGCAAACATACGTAATTCGACAATACATTTTTGAATTTGATCAAAGCCTAACGTACCTCTTGCATCCAGACGTTGATGTATATACTCAGACACTGAAATCACACCTTCAACAATACACACAAACAAATCTTTATGCATCCGAAACCATCGACGAATATAATCTCCTTGAAACAGAGCATGATCATCAAAATAATCATTCATGAGATGTTAGTGAGTTGTTGCACGCTGTCTTTGTATATATATCTTTTTTGTTTACGTTGCACGTTGCTCGATTTAGGGTTATTAAGATGTTGTTCTAGCCTATTACGTATAGATATGATTGACTCTATTACACTATCAAAAACAACGTCCAATGAAGAAGATGATGATAATAAAGACAAGGACGAAGACGACATTTTTTTATAAATGGGATAACCAAATTGGAAGAGAAAGAATGATAGTTTGTGTGTGTGAAATGTTAAAAATGTAGTGTTAATTTATAAGGTTTGGGTTGAAATTTGAAATTTTGAATTTTAAGATAAAAAATGTTTTTTTTACATAAAATATTACAAATTTTGTTTGGAAAATGTTAGATCCAGTCAAAGGCCTAGCAACTAATCACATGAAGACAATTCTTTTTCTCTCCCCTAGCGATCATCTTCTAGCGAGCCCCCTAGCAAGTGCTAGAAGGGCGATCTTCCGAATGCTTAGCGAGGCCTTAGCGAGCCACTTTGACGAGCGACTCCCTCTAGTTTTAGGAATTGTTAGTACATGTCAGATTTTTTGCTCAAGCTATCAAGTTTTATTTATTGGCTATTTCCCATGCTAAAAAAGAATCAACCACGTCGCCTTTAAAGATTTCTATTGTTGCTGATAAAAGAATCCTCCCGATGCGAGTGATAGTATTAGGCAACAATATCATCTGAGCATTTGTGGCTATAAAAGTTGAATGTAACAACATTGTCACTCTACATTTCCAAATCGGGTACGAGTTTCATATTGACAAGGATATGACATATTTTGCACCACTTTAAATCTAAGATACTACCTGGGACTCAGCTTTTGTGATGGTCCAACAGGATTTCCCAATGAAAGTTCATGGTCCATTTCTAATCTCCTAGAACTTCATTTGTGATTTAATTTTTATATAGTATATTTTTCAACATATTTGTCACTAATATTTGTCGTTTATACTAGTGTCTTCGATCTAATACTTTGAAACCAGTGAACATATTAAAGATCCATTAGTAATAAATGTCTCTTACCATCGGTACGTATGAGTTGGAAGGCACGCAAGAGGCTATAGCAATAAAAGTGCATTAACTTAGTTTAGAAGAAATGATGAAAGAAAGAAGGCCATGGTACTAAACGACACAGTGTTGGAAAATGTTATCAACTTATTTAAAAGAAATAGTATCATTAAAGTTGATATGAAACCCCACTAACTTACACATTTGTTTCTTATTAAAACTCCCAAATCCCAATGCCTATATTTTCCCACCCATACACTGAGTCACTGATCCTTTGCTATACATCAATTCATCACCACAAGGGCCCATCCTCTTTAATAACTTGAACGTTCATGAAAATTTTTAATTATTTGAATCATGTTACATTTTTCATCTTTCTTTAATGATATTTTAAACACCATGTGCTTCTTTTTTCATAAAGATGGGAATTTAATTGATCTTTGATGGATGATAATAAGAAGTTTATGTTATAAATTAGGTCCAAGTTGGCACCCAAAACGGATTTTGGTTGCATCAACCGAAAGTCTCACATAAGTGGAAAATACAACTTTTTCTAGGTTTTCATTCAAGGAACTGTATACAATTCAGTAATGAGTTTTGATTCGTGCATACATAATGTTGTGTTTCTTAAATTCTTTCAACTTTTTTACTATAAATATATTATTCACTGCTCTACGCTATGCTTTTCTGTAAACAGCTTACTCTACTTTTTCACTATATCTTTTTCTTCCCACGGATACCCAATCCAGATGCGACTACCCACTCCACTGCCTTTGGAGTTCTGTCTTCTGGAGAGTCAATCTAAAAGTGTTTATTCGTCAACGATCCTCAAATAATATAATTAAAAAAATATCACTTCGACAAATCTTGCTATCAATGGTTTGATCTAACCATTATAAGAATTGATCTTTATCACGATCTTTGTGCTTCTTTAGGCGACATATTTCATTCCGTTATGTCGAGGAAAGATTAATTAAGGCAACACTTATACATATATAAACATGCATGGCCATTGGTCACGCAATTTTATATGATTTACAATTTTTTTAAAAAGAAGTTTATACTAATTAAGAACTACTTAAATTCGCAAAGTTCGATCGAAGCCATAAACATTAGTTGTGAAGTGTTTGTTATCGATGAAAATCGACAATTACCAAGACCCGACATTACTCATTATACAGTTAATATATATATTAGCATGCTTCATAACAATTACACTTAACGATTTAAAGAAAATGTAGTTCTATAACTACTACAAAACACCATTATAGATAGCTAAATAACAAATTGGGAAACTTATTGAGCTAGCTATATATATAAGGAGTGCACTTGCATATTAAACCGAAAGGCTGTTCCAGATTTCAGTGAAAGCTCGGACGATGATTCCATGGTAGTAGGGAGAATTCAACTGCAAGAAACAGTTAAGAAGCTCCCGGAGATCATCTTTCTCATATATCTCCTTCTCCCTTATCATCTGCAACATTGATTCCCTGAAATCAACATACGGATCGTTAGAATCTTTCTCCACGGCCAGGCTGTTGCCGCTGAGCCACCCAAACCCTTGCACGACATTGGAGTCGTGAGTTGCGGTGTCTGAGGCATTTGGCGATAATGTAGCGGTGGTGGTGTTGGTGGTAGTGCTCCATGAGGTGGAGGCTGAGACTGAGGAGGAGCTATGGTGGTGGTCTACGTCGGAATAGTAACGGCTGTGTTTGTGTTTGTTGGGTTTACGATGGAAGATCTTGGAGAGGTTTATTCTCCGGCAGGCGCTACTGCAGCCGACACTGACGGCGGTGGTGTTGAGACTGAGTTTCCTCTTCACAGTAGGCATTCTTCAATCTTCACTTTGAGCAAGTTGATGGAAGATTTTCGTGTCTATTAATTGTGATTTTATTTACTCGGAAGGGGTAGAAGCTAATGTGACAGCCACTGTTTGGTCACAGTCCAATCGATATGATGTGTCGCGTCATTAGTAACCAATATAATAATTTTGTATACGTAGACTTTGTCGAAAAAGCTAGGTATGTCATTCACAGCTAGGTTCGATTCTTTTTTAAAATATCAGAATGTCAAAGAGTTGACTGATTTAAAAAAAAAAAAAAAAGTGAAAAAATATATTATGCCAACATGATAGAAAGTTATAGTGTTATACTATTGAGTCCGACAGTGCATAGTGCACAATATGAGTGAAGCAACATGGAGAGACTTGAAGAGATAAGTGTGCTTCATTCCCCACAAAAAATAAGTAAAATTGTACAGCACGATGCGTGTAATATGAGAAAAATGGTCTTAAAGTAAAAACGTCATTTCATGTTAGTGTTTCAAAAGGCGTGTGATGACGTTAATACATGTCCCCCTGTACCTGTAATGTTAAGATCGATCCCTCAATAAGATCCCAAGTCTATAAGGTGAGGCGTACCTTATTTTTTTGTGAGTTAAATGTTATCAATCTATTTAGAGTAAATTATTGAAATCGTCCATGTGATTTGGTTAAAATTACATATTTGATTCCTAATTTTTATTTTACACTTGGATCGTTTATGTGGTTTGATTTTTTTGTTGTATTTTTCGTTCCTGTTGTTTGGTCAAAATAGCATGTTTGGTCCCCAACTTTATGTATGTAAGAGACGAAAAACGCAACAAAATCAAACCACAGGAATGAAAAATGCAACAAAATCAAACCACATGGATGATCCGAGTGCAAAAGAAAAGTTAGAGACCAAACGTTCAATTTTAACCAAACCATAGGGACGATTTCATTAATTTACTCATCTATTTAATATAGGCGGGATTAACTTGAGAAACTGGGTTTAACTTTAGCTATAATAAGAGTTTTGGAGATAAGGGTTTACGCTTGGATAAGTCAAGGTGAACTTGGGAAAAAAGGGATTTAGGGCACTGCCCCATGGTGGGGTTCCAAAGGGTAACTTCCATCAGTCAGCAGGCGGCGTCAAGAGTCGCTGCCACCCTTACAAAATAAAAGATACAACCGGTAGTAAATTCTTAGGCAAAAACAAATTATTGCAACTATTAGAAACAATTGTAGTTTTACTTTAAAAAATAATTGAAATTTAACTTTTTGGTGTCTTTATAAGATAAGATTTCCAATGTTTACAGATCATCTTCTTCTTCTATAAAGTTATTCTGCATAAATATTGTCTCAAAAAAACATAAAATGATCGCAAGGTATTTTTGTGTTTTGATCTTGGATTTTGCTTGCAATTCAGATTCTCATTTCCCTAGATTATCTCACACTCGTATTCATTTAACCACAACCAATAGGGTCTAATTATAGTTTTCAAAAATTGTTTCTAACACGATCCTAGAAATTATCCAAGTTTTGTCTAAAATATCCAACCATGGTTGCTCGTGTTGCGCCATGGTGTGTTAATTTTATAGGCATGCTTTCTGGATCTTGACTTTTGAGTTTTCTTAGGCATGTTCTTTTGGATGAACTACCTCCATCCGCCTCTCCTCTTCATGACCGTCACCCTAAACCACTTGAACCGCCTCCCTGAACCAAGCCCTTCCATTGGAAGTGTTCATTCTCCAGTGAAATGCTCTGGCACAAAGTCCCAACATGAATAAGAACAACCAGTCACCGCTACCTTCTTTGGTTCTTGATCACCCACTACGTGAATCAATACCATCTGCGGTTTCAATCAATTTTCTTAGGAAAAAAGTATAACTGGTGTCATGTATGCATTAAGTCCCTTTTTAGCTTAAGAGTTTCATTTACCCATGTATAGACATAAATTTGGCAACTTTATGTGTTAGTCCAACTCAAGAAGGCCAGATCTGTGTTGTGGAGCTTTGTCTTAATGGATTAAGTGGGAAAATCAAGTTGGGGCTGATTAAGTGAGTACGTTAGACGTACAAGAAGGTACGCACAATGTACAAGCCTCCAAGTGACTACGCTGCACGTACATGCTTGTACACCCCGTCTACTCGGTCTGAGTGGGTTTGTGTATTTAGGCTTCAGTTTGAGCTGCCTTTTTGGGCCTGGTTGCTTGGGAATTTGTTAGGCCATCTGAGAAGGTGTGTTTTGGACTAGGGATAAGTAGTGGACTTTAGGGTAAGGCCTAAGTAAGGGTTTTGGCCTAATTTGGAAAATGGTGCCATAAATGGGCTTTGGATGATTATTGGTTGGTGGGCCTGTATGTTATGAAGTTTGGGGCCTTAGTCTTGGCCTAAACTAAGTGAGGGGTAAAATGGTGTTTTTACCTCATGAATGGATTATTGGATTAGGTGTGGACCCAAATTGTTAATTGGGTGTTATTTGTTTGATAGCACAGGGATGTTAGCGGATCTACAACTAAAGATTATATGTAGGATTCTACTATCCGAGGTAAGTCTTCTCACTATATCCATGGGTCGAAGGTACTAATGTCGGCCCATTATGTGTTATGTGGTATGCTAGTTGTCTCTGTGAATCTTACATGGAAGACCCCTGGGGGAGCCGGTGGCAATTAGACATCAGACCATGGGGGAGCCCATTGCATTCCAAGTAAAGACCAAGTGGGAGCCCATGACATATCAGATAAAGACCATGGGAGCATCCCATGACAACTATATGTATGTGGATGATAACCTGTGGTTGTATGATGTATGGTATTTTGGGGAAGTCACTAAACTTTGTGCTTACGGTTTTCAGTTTATGTTTCAAGTACTTTGGTGTTCAATTGGAAGAGCTCGGAATGATTGCAGAGCACACACTACTTGTTTATGCATTCTGTGAATTACTCTGATTTGATAATATTTTGTTAAATCTTGGTAACCTTGGTTACATGGAAAAGATATGTATTAACAATTTATTAATGTAAAAACAAAAAATTTTATGTCATGATTTTCGAAGTGTTACAATAACAACCCTAAAAACTTAAATTAAGTGTTATGGTATGTATTTTGTATAAAAATGTGAAAGGGTAAAACCAAATGATGTAATGGTGAAGTATTGTTAAAAGAACTCTATACACCCTTTTACTTATGTCATCATAACTAAAAATGTAGAATTGCTAATTAGAAACTTTCTAGAGGAAAGTTGTAGCTCAATCCAATACGATTTTGTGGATATAAAATTCCTCAAAATCATAGTTTGTATGAGGAAGTTACAATTCGTAAAAGTACATGGTAATATAGGGTGTCAAATACATTACCCAAAAGTATATTAAGAGGCATTACACGATCATGTAATCTTCCAGGACAAACATTTCTTCCTTATCAAGCATTGTAACATGCAAAAGGATAGTAGAAAGCTAAATATGGATCTTTATGGAGGTTACACAATATTGTTACCACTTACACGATTGTGTAAGTGTTTTGAAGCTTCAAATATTGATTTTAGTGAAGTGTATAGCTATTTTGGATATATTGGCATTACGCGATTGTGTAATGAGTTACACAATTGTATATAGAGGTCAATTTACACATCATGTGAGAATAAAAATCTTTTGATTAGCCAAACGTCTTCATTTTAATTCAAATTTAGTTGAGAACTCTACGAGGCTATTTTGAGGGTGCTAAGGCAAGAACTTCATCAAGAGTCAAGGATAAACTTACAAAGAACAAGGATCAACCATATAGATACATATAGGTACCTCATTATTCTTCCTTTAGTCAAGATCTTATGTTGATCGATCGTGCTGCTTGAAGTAATTACTATAACTTGATTTATATGTCTTGAATCTTTACTATAATGTAGTAGTGAGTATTTTAATCATGATTCCAAGCTTACTATGATAAATCTATGGTGGAATTCATGAATTTGAACATGATGAATTCAAACTCTAATTGCTTGATCTATTAGAAAATTAAATTTGAGCTTATAACTTAATGAATTAAGACATACGGATGTGATTTTCATGGAGCATAATTGGTTTTTTAGCCAAAGTAGAAATGAGGATTTCATGAGACTAAGTGTATACGAATATAAATTACAATTAAGCTCTTTATATGATAGGTCTTGTTATTAAGATCTTAATATGTTGTTTAAATAGGATCTGAAAAGAGATTAATCGAAGGTCACCAAGTAAAAGATAAAATCCAAATTGCTAGTTAGTATTCACTAACTAATAAGGTGAGTTATATGGAGATTTTTTTAAGAGGTACATTGATTATTGAATTAAGAAAGTTTTTTAAAGGTACTTTTTATAAAGAAAGGTAATATACATGTTTATGTCCATATGGTTTTCAAAAGAATGAATCTTTGATATGAATTTTGCCAAATGACTCGATTTATACATGTTTGATATAAACTTGCCTAATATTATGTAAATGAATTACTTATAAAGCATGGCATTATGTGTGATCGAGCCTGAAAAAAAAAAGGTGTGATCATGCATCATTAATCAAAATATAGAGAAATGCAAAAGAAATGTAAACTTTTGCTAGTCTATGATAGAATGTTGTCCCACAATAGGACCAATGAGTAATTGGACTATATTGGGAGGGTACCTCTCATTACGAAGTAGGATGTAAACTATGAATCCACAATAGGATGATTTGTCCTCCTAGTGTGGTCAATGGATAAGGTCATGCAAGGTGACCTAGTCCTCATGTGATTCATGATATAATATGAGATTATACCGGTAAACATAATAAAGCTTAATAACGAAACGGGACAGAACCAATAAATCTCCAATATGCGAGGACATGAATTGCATAGTCAAAAACTGTTTTGAAGTTTATGAAAAAAAAGTATTCTAATTTTTATAAATATTCAGGTCTAAACCCATACGAATCATTAGACATTATTTTGCATATGTTTTTGTTTTAATACCATGTATCTCATGATTGGGTGTAAGGAACTAGGGACTGGAAAGATTAGTAATA